TCTTTCTCTCTCTCTCTCTCTCTCTCTCTCTCTCTCTTCTCTTCCTCTCTCTCTCTCTCTCTCTCTCTCTCTCTCTCTCTCTCTCTCTCTCTCTCTCTCTCTCTCTCTCCCTCCTCTCTCTCTCTCTCTCTCTCTTCTCTCTCTCTCTCTCTCTCTCTCTCTCTCTCTCTCTCTCTCTCTCTCTCTCTTCTTTCTTTCTTTCTCTCTCTCTCTCTCTCTCTCTCTCTCTCTCTCTCTCTCTCTCTCTCTCTCTCTCTCTCTCTCTCTCTCTCTCTCTCTCTCTCTCTCTCTCTCTCTCTCTCTCTCCTCTCTTTCTCTCTCTTTCTCTCTCTCACTCTCTCTCCCGCTTTTTCCCTTGTCAGCTTCATTTCCATGATTCGCTAAACATTCATTCTCATTTCATCGACATATTTCCCGTCTGCACAATATCGCCATTGTTCCCCCCGGTAATCATAAGATCTCCTCTTTCAACGCTGGAAGCCTCAGTGCACCGGGACACGATTAGCTTTTGAACCTTTTTGAGATTTTTAGAACTCCCGTCTTTCATTTCAGAGGTCTCTCCTTTCTCGCTTTGTGTTCGGATGGTATCTGGCGAATTAATACATGTTTATGACGCTGGTATTGTGACTGGAATGAATTTTAAATGAACTTATATATCATTATATCATTGTTGTTGCAGAAGATAACCGATAATTTTATTACTATTATTGTGCAAAGTGACGGCCAAGTTTTGCAGTGTTATTGTTCCTGTGATATTTATTCATTCTAATTGTCATTGTTTGTATAATTGTTTTCTGTTATCGTTAACAATGCCAGGCTCCCTTTGACATGCCCATTCTTTGTTTTGTTTATCCAAACATTGTAACTCTTAGACTGCGGGTTTATCTATAAAATGAGTCTAATTTCCTTTTGCATACATTTTTATTCTTATTCTTGTCATTCTTACCTTCTTTTCCTATGTAATGTTTTCTCTATTCATTCTAGTTAACAAGTTTTCCGCTCTCCTTTTCGTGTACCCTTCCTCTTGCAGCCTTTAATATGTACTTTCCCTCTCGCCGTTCTCGCCGCGTGCGCTCCCTTCCATCTGCCTTTGACCCCCACGGCCCACCTCCATCCCCGCCCTGCCCCTGCCCCCCCCTCACCATTGCCCTAACTCTCTCCTTCCTACCACGTCCACGCCACACCAACCACCCCTTAACCCCCTTTCCCGAAGTTTACTCTTCCTACCATCTAACCTCTTTACCCCTCCCCCTCCCCACCCTCCCTCCGCGCTCAGCCAATCAGCGAGATGAAGGCAGGCCGGCTCGTCATCGGTCAGGTTGTGACGTCTTGTTGAAAAGACTGAGATTACGCTCTGCGCGCTCTCATCTGTCTCCTTCGCGCCTCTCTGCCCTCCAAGAATCTTCCCTCCCTCCCCGCACTCTCTCGGACGCCTTCTCGCTTCCCTCCTTCCCTCCTATCTGCGCCTAACTTTGACGGGTCTCCATGCTTCCGCACCTTCACCTCCTGCGCTATTCTTGACGTCCTCCCGTCCCTTCCCTCTGCGGCCGCGCTTCTTCCCTCCCTTCGCACTCCCTGCGGACGCTCTGAGCCTTCACTCCTCCCTTCCTGCGCTATCAATCTGACGTCCTCCCGACGCCTCGACCATCTGCGATTCTGACGTCCTCCCTCCCTCCCCTCCATCCATGCCTTTGACCCTTCCCGCTTCCCTCCCTCCCTCCCTCGCCATCTGACGCCCTTCCCCTTCCTTCCTCCCTCCCTGCGCCATCTGGACGCCCTCCCGCTTCCCTCCCTCCTTCCCTGCCCATTGACGTCCTCCCCTTCCTTCCCTCCTCCTTGCGCCATCTGACGTCCTCCCGGTTCCCTCCTCCCTTCCCGCTATTGACCCGCCGCTTCCCTCCCTCCCTTCCCTGCGCCATCTCCCTCCCGCTTCCCTCCCTCCCTCCCTGCGCCTCCTCCCCGCTTCCCTCCCTCTCCTCCCTGCGCCATCTGACGCACCGCTTCCTCCCTCCCTCCCTGCGCCATTCTGACGCCCTCCGCTTCCCCCCTCCCTCCTGCCCTCTGTTCCCTCCCTTCCCTCCCTGTCCATCTGACGCCTCCCTCCTCCCTTCCTCGCCGTCCGCTCCTTCCCTCCCTCCCTGCGCCATCTGACGCCCTCCCGCTTCCTCCCTCCCTCCCTGCGCCATTTGACGCCTTCGCTTTCCCTCCCTCCCTCCTGCGCCCTGACGCCCTTCCTCTTCCTCCCTCCCTCCCTGCGCCATCTGACGCCCTCGCTTCCTCCCTCCCTCCCTGCGCCATTTGACGCCCTTCCGCTTCCCCTCCCTCCCTCCCTGCGCCATTTGACGCCCTTCCGCTTCCCTGCCTCCCTCCCTGCGCCATTTTGACGCCCTTCCGCTTCCCTCCCTCCCTCCCTGCGCCATCTGACCCCTTCCGCTTCCCTCCTCCCTCCCCCCATTCCCTTCCGTCCCTCCCTCCCTCCCTGCGCCATTTGACGCCCTTCCGCTTCCCTCCCTCCCTCCCTGCGCCATCTGACGCCTCCCTTTCCCCTCCTCCCTTCCTGCGCCATCTGACGCCCTTCCGCTTTCCCTCCCTCCCTCCCTCCGCTCTGACGCCTTTCCGCTTCCCTCCCTTCCCTCCCTCCCTGCGCCATCTGACGCCCTCCCGCTTCCTCCCCTCCCTCCTGCGCCATTTGACGCCATTCCGCTTCCCTCCCTCCCTCCCTGCGCCATTTGACCCCCCTTCCGCTTCCCTCCTCCCTCCCTGCGCCATCTGACGCCCTCCCGCTTCCTCCCTCCCTCCCTGCGCCATTTGACGCCCTTCCGCTTCCCTCCCTCCCTCCCTGCGCCATTTGACGCCCTTCCGCTTCCCTCCTCCCTCCCTGCGCCATTTGACGCCCTTCCGCTTTCCCCCTCCCTCCCTGCGCCATTTGACGCCTTCCGCTTCCCTCCCTCCCTCCCTGCGCCATTTGACGCCCTTCGCGTTCCTCCCTCCCTCCCTGCGCCATTTGACGCCCTTCCGCTTTCCCTCCCTCCCTCCCTGCGCCATTGGACGTCCTCCCGCTTCCTCCCTCCCTCCCTGCGCCATTTGACGCCCTTCCGCTTCCCTCCCTCCCTCCCTGCGCCATTTGACGCCCTTCCGCTTCCCTCCCTCCCCCTGCGCCATCTGACGCCTTCCGCTTCCCTCCTCCCTCCATGCGCCATTTGACGCCCTTCCGCTTCCCTCCCTCCCTCCCTGTGCCATTTGACGCCCTCCCGCTTCCCTCCCTCCCTCCCTGCGCCATCTGACGCCCTCCCGCGACCCTCCCTCCCTCCCTCGCCATTTGACGCCTCCCACTTCCCTCCCTCCCTCTCTGCGCCATCTGACACCCTCCGCTTCCCTCCCTCCCTCCATGCGCCATCTGACGCCCTCCCGCTTCCTCCCTCCCTCCCTGCGCCATCTGACGCCCTCCCGCTTTCCCTCCCTCCCTCCCTGCGCCATCTGACGCCCTCCCGCTTCCTCTCCTCCCTCCCTGCGCCATTTGACGCCCTTCCGCTTCCCTCCCTCCCTCCCTGCTTCATCTGACGCCCCCCGCTTCCCTCCTCCCTTCCTGCGCTATCTGACGCCCTCCCGCTTCCCTCCCTCCCTCCCTGCGCATCTGACGCCTCCCGCTTCCCTCCCTCCCTCCGCATCTGACGCCCTCCGCTTCCCTCCCTCCCTCCCTGCGCCATCTGACGCCCTCCCGCCCTCCCTCCCTCCCTGCGCCATCTGACACCCTCCCGCTTCCCTCCCTCCCTCCCTGCGCCATCTGACGCCCTCCCGCTTCCCTCCCTCCCTCCCTGTGCCATTTGACGCCATCCCGCTTCCCTCCCTCCCTCCCTGCGCCATCTGACGTCCTCCCGTTTCCCTCCTCCCTTCCTGCGCTATCTGACGCCATCCCGCTTCCCTCCCTCCCTCCCTGCGCCATCTGACACCCTCCCGCTTCCCTCCCTCCCTTCCTGCGCCATCTGACGCCCTCCCGCTTCCCTCCCTCCCTCCCATGCGCCATCTGACACCCTCCCGCTTCCCTCCCTCCCTCCCTGCGCCATCTGACACCTCCCGCTTCCCTACCTCTCCCTGCGCCATCTGACGCCTCTCCCGCTTCCTCGCCCTCCGCCCTGCGCCCTCTAACGCCCTCCCCGCTCCCTCCCTCCTCTCGCTCCCTCCCTGCGCCATCTGACGCCTTCCCACTTCCCTCCCTGCGCTATCTGATGCCATCTGAAGTCCTCCCGCTTCCCTTCCTCCCTCCCTGCGCCATCTGACCGCCATCTATATTCTTTATATTCTCTCTCTCTCTCTCTCGCTCGTCCCCCCCCCCCTCTCTCTCTCTCCCTCCTTCTCTATCTTTCTATCTATCTATCTATCTATCTATCTATCTATATATATATATATATATATATATATATATATATATATATATATATATATATATTTTTTTGCGAATCGTGGAAAGAAAAATAATGATCGAGAGAGAGAGAGAGAGAGAGAGAGAGAGAGAGAGAGAGAGAGAGAGAGAGAGAGAGAGAGAGAGAGAGAGAGAGAGAGAGAGAGAGAGAGAGAGAGAGAGAGAGAGAGAGAGAGAGAGTAATGTTTTTCTTTGCGCTTTGTCGTCGATCTCTTGAAACACTTGACTTTTGATTCTCTTTCCATTTGACCTTGATTGAACGATCCCTTAAAACCCTTTATATGTAATATTTTCACAAAATTCTGTCGGTTCTGGATCTTCTTTAATACAATGCGATCCCTCGATTACGTAAAAACTTTTCTATAGATCCTTCACAAACTTGCTCTTCTAAAAAGACGAGCCAGTATGCTTTGTTCTGTTGCATTCTTACTTTTGCTTCATGAATCCCTATAAGGTTCTTTACAGGTACAGAAAATTATTTCATGATGTGCCTATAGCAAGGATGATTATTAAGCATTAAACTTTATTTTTTCTCGTAGAAACAGCATAGTGTTTCTGAAGAGATAAAATAAAGATGAAAATGATAACAGTAATTCAGCGAATCCTTCCATGGAGAAGGCCGCCTTGCACGAGGGCGAGAGAAGCTCCTCCAGCCGAGGTTAAGGGTTGTTATAGTGACGGCGGCTCGTGTTCTCCCCCGACAGCAGTACAACACGAGCGAGGTCCTCGGAAGAGCAAGAACAAGGAAGGGGGGCTGGGAGGCCTCAGCATGGGTCCCACCGGGGACCACTACCCTACCCAGGACGCCACCAAGCTGCCGCCCTTACTCTTCCCGCCGCCCCCGATGCCCTCCCTCAAGCCCCACGCCCCCCATATGTTCCCCGAGGGTATCCTGGCGCCCACACCCATCTTTATGCCGCACGTGCCCACCTCCCAGCCCCACGGCCTGCTCCACATGCTGTCCTCGGCCGAAAAACTGCAGGTGAGGAATATAAAAGAAATATAAAAGAAACAAAAGCTCAATGTCGATCTCATTACTTGGGTAATAAAAAACAAATTTATATATATATATATATATATATATATATATATATTATATATATATGTGTGTGTGTGTGTGTGTGGTGTGTGTGTGTGTGTGTGTGTGTGTGTGTGTGTGTGTGTGTGTGTGTGTGTGTGTGTGTGTTTGTGTGTGTATATATATATATATATATATATATATATATATATATATATATATATATATATATATATATATATACATATATAACTAGATAAATAGAAAGTTGAATTGGTAGATAAAATAAATTCATTGATTAACAAATACATAACGTAAAACAGCAAGGACCTAGAGGTCTTCCCTCACGACCCTTCAGCGAGCCCTAAACAGTTTGGTTTAACTTCCTTTGCAACAAGGAACGTCGCTCTCTCCTCCTGCAGGGCGCGAACCCACCCATTACCAGCGGGTCGAGCGGTAGCAGCCTGCAGGAGGTGGCTGTGTCCCTCCCGCAGGCTCCGTCGGTGCTGCCCTTCGCTCCTTCGTGGGATATCTTTCAGGTGAGGGGGTCTAAGCGATCCGTCGTGTAGTGTTCATGTGTGGATATGTGTGAAAACAAGAACCTAAAGATATAATTAGTTATAGAAATCTGGGTACACACTGTTGCTTGCAAGTGAAAGTAATGGAAGAAAGGTCACTCGGGGCACTTGGCTTTTGCAGTGTCTGTTTAAAGAACTAGCTGATGCTTTGCTGGGGATAAAATAGAAAGTGAGGAGAGGGAGAGAAGAAAAAGAAAAATGAATATCAGTGCAAAAATGAGAAGAAAAAAACATGTAAGCAAAACTTGAGAGATAAAAAATATTTTTTCACCGAATCGAAGCAAACTCGACATTTAACCTCTTGGCTCCCCTCCCACAGGAGACCACTGCGAGGCTGCTCTTCATGATGGTACGGTGGATCAGATCTCTCGCTCCCTTCCAGACGCTATCGAGGTCAGACCAGGTCAGTAGATATCTTTCTTTTCTTTGTGTTTTATGTTTTGGTGTATGCTTGGTTTTGATTTTGACTGGAGATAACGCATAATGCATTATCATCATCATTAGCGTTGCCTAAATTGGACTATCAGAAATGAAATACAAAAGCACTTTTCGGACATTACATACTTGTACTACTACCACTACTATTACTGCTGCTACTACTACTAATATCACTACTACTATTACTGCTACTACTGCTGCTGTTGCTATTACTACTACTACTACTATAACTACTACTATTACTACTACTACTGCTGCTGCTGCTATTACTACTACTACAATTATTACTACTATCACTACTACTATTACTACTACTACTGCTGTTGCTGCTATTACTACTACTATTACTACTACTACTACTATAACTACTGTTATTACAACTACTACTACTACTACTACTACTACTGCTACTGCTGCTGCTATTACTACTACTACTACAATTATTACTACTATCACTACTACTGTTACTACTGCTGCTGCTGCTGCCATTACCACTACTACTACTACAATTACTACTATTACTACTACTACTGTTACTAATACTACTACTATTACTACTGCTACTACTACTAATATTACTACTATTTTTATTACTATTACTATTACTACTGTTACTACTATTACTACTACTACTACTATTGTTACTACTACTATTACTATTGTTAGCATCATTATGTCTCTGTTTTATTACTACTTCCATCATTTATATCAGTCACCATCGCTGTCATTATTCATAACTAGCAATAACAAATGTTTCGTTAC